AGTTAGGCTGAGAGCTTATGACACTAAAAATCCGGTAGGCAGAGCACAGATAACCCAGCGTGTAGCTTTGTGCTTAAGAAGATCAAATTTGTTTGTTATGCTCCAATTTTAGCGTTATTAGTCACAAGCTTACCGCTGAGCCATCGGGTGACGTAATGTTTTATTCTGAATCGATCGAAGTCTCCATCTCCATGAAATATAGTTGATTTGATAATTAACTACGTTTTTTACAACTTAACAACTTTTTTATTTTTAGGTCTACATGCTACAATAAGTATTGTGTTTCTTTTGCCAGTTGTGTTCAATGTGAATTAATAATCGTAAAAGCTAATTAATGCGAGTATTTAAGCATTTTAATAAAGTTAAATTGTGCATTATCGTCCACGTAAGATTTTCAAATCTCTAAGATATATTGTAAACATAAAAACTGCAAAAGAAGTAAGTATCATAAGCTTGTTAAGTAAATGTCTTTCGTAGTGTGCAAACATTATAATTTCCAGGAAATTCAAGCAACTTAAAATACCCCCTTATTGTTTTAGTAATCATGGTGTTCAGCAAACTATAATAAAAACACTCCAAAATTTCTTTTTTTATCGACAATAGTTATTAAAGCTTCACCTCTTGCAGAAAAACCTTTATTTGAAAATGAGTTCTTCCATCGTTTGTATCAACATTTTTGGTGAAAGTACATATTAATTTGTCATCAGAAGACTTGTTTTCGGTGCTGAACCAATCGATATACACTGGGAGAATGTTCGAAAGTCTCATTTGCAAGTATACGGTTGGAAGGTGTGATGTTTCATGAAATGTTTGATATGTTTCTTATGAATTTCGTGCAAAGCTACGCGAGGACTATCTGCGCTAACCGTCCCTAATTAAGCAGTGAAATATTAGAGGGAAGGTAGCTAGCCATCACCACCAACCGCCAACTCTTTTACCAACGAATAGTGAGATTGATTGTCACATTATAACGCCCCCCAAAGCTGAAAGGGCGAGCATGTTTGATGGGACGGAGGTTCGAACCCGCTACCCGCAGATTGCGAGTCGAGCACCCTAACCACCTGGCCTGCGTGAAATGAAAACTTTGTAGATGTATTCACGATGGGGTTCCTTTTGAAGTTATAGTGGTCAGAAAGAAGTCGTCTCAAAAACGCTAGAATCCAAAGAAAGGAAGACAGAAAAACTGCGAAGCAGAAGGAACGTGTGAATAAGGTGCTTTGTTGTTCTCATTGTAACTATTTTTATTATCGTTCAGTGACTGACACGACTGGCCAGACCTCAACCGACTAAAGTAATAATAAATAGCTAAAGGACCTTTATTACTGCTTTTACTAAATTCGCAGTGTCCTAGATGTCATGAACATTGAAAACCATTCTTACAGTACCAAACAAGGTCAAACTAGAATGACTCTGAACAAAAATAACCTTACTTGAGGAAGACGTTTCATCAACATAAAAAAAATCAACCAAGAGATCTAACCATGAGAAATTGGTCCAGCGGATTTTACTTTGTTGAAAGTTGCCACCAAGGTCATGGCGTTTCTGTAAGATCGACTCACTGTTTTGGCGTCAAATATCATAACAGATGGCATAGTCGAAGTTTTTAATAATATTCGTACAATTTGACATTTATATTCCTCACTCAGACTCAGACTACACACATATGGGCGGGGTTTAGCCAAATGGTTAGCGTACCGGACTGTGAAGCTTAGGGTACCTAGTTTGCATCCCATTTTCGAAATCTTGCACTCCTCGCTTTGGGGTCCTGTGTAATTTTGGAGTCCTGTATAATTTTGCGTGAATACCCGAAACAAGTAACTTCCAAGCATAAACGTCCCAATATAAATCCCAGATACTGTTAATTTCACGGTTCTTTCTAACACACGAACTTTATTATTATTTTGTTGTTGTTTCCCTGTTAAATACAGCAAAAACTAGACACGCATACCCGAAACTAGCGATACTGTAGATTTTTTCATATTTTCTCTTTGCAGGTTCCGTGTTTCAGACGAAGAAAATAGTTACAAGCTAAGTGTTAGCGGTTACAGAGGAAATGCGAGCGACTCTTTGACTTTGCATGATGGGAAGATGTTCTCTACTATAGACCGGGACAATGATGAAGTTGAGTCATGTTGTAACTGTGCTGATACGTTCAAGGGGGGATGGTGGTATTACAGGTAGGTTTAAAGCTAACTTAATAGAGCAAATAGACATGTAAGTATGTGTTACATGTAAGTATGTGTTACTTACATTCAAGTAAGGCGGGTGTGGTTTATTTCTGTCTAAAGACTGTAAATCACAGTTTCATAATATATATAAACGCATATCTAGGCTGTGGTGGAACAAGCTGTTCAGGGGCCCTGGGCAAAGAAAAGGTCGCGGTCCCTTTTTCCGGAGGTTAAGACATGTAAGTATGTGTTACTTACATTCAAGTAAGGCGGGTGTGGTTTATTTCTGTCTAAAGACTGTAAATCATAGTTTCATTACCTCCGGAAAAAGGGACCGCGACCTTTTCTTTGCCCAGGGCCCCTGAACAGCTTGTTCCACCACAGCCTAGATATGCGTATATATATATATTAAGACCAGACCATGCCTCCAGGCGTTGCGGGCCCTAGGGCATTGTTTCGTCTGCCCCGCGCCAGTTCCACCACTGAATCTAGGCTTAGGCCTTGTAGAGAAGCTAGGCTAGGAAATGTGGTCTTTGGCGATGTGAGGTGGTAACAGTAGTATATAATACCGTGTTTCTTTTACTGCTTTCCTAACTTAGGCATTTTTTACATAATATAAAAATCAAAATATAAATAAATGGGCAGGTATGGGCTTCACCCTTATACCCTCAACTACTTTGTCATAGCTATTTCATATTAGTCCACACAAGTGAAAGATATATGTAAAAATAGTAATAACTATTGCAGTGGTATTAAATGCTCGAGCTGGCAAAACGATGAGGATTTTTAGGCCTTAAAAATAAGCAGTTAAAATCAAGCTTGACTGCAAATATTTTTTCCGCAATCCAGTATAGCAATTTAAAAAGAATAAAAAAATTATTAATGTAAAAAAAAAATCATTACAAGTAGGCTTTTTTTATTGCAGGTGCTTTGAGGCCAATCTCAATGGACCATATCAAACCGAACCTACCGAAAATGGCTACTTCTTAGGGATTATATGGGAACAATGGCGCGGTGATTATTCTCTCAAAGGGGCTGAAATGAAGATTAGACCTCTGATGTTTGATGAAATTAAGGATCCATAATATTTACATCCTTACATTCTTTTTTTATTTGCGAAAACTTAGAATACCTGGTATCAAAATTGGCACATAGTCCCTTCGATTACTACATAACGAACCATGCGCTAATGCAAATTTTAGTCTATGGGATTTGTACGAAGATAGATATTTAAGCAACATTCTAATCCAAATGGTTTAGAAAATATGTTAATTACTATTAAAATAGATGGTGCTTTTGCCTTGTAGTATTTTTTCATAATCTGGCATGTTTTTTCTTATTCGTTCACTTTCGTCTGTTTTGATATTCTATAGCAGTCGTATATCGAACTCGTGTCGCTACTCGCTTGTTCTTTAATTCATTGTTTTCTTTTAGATGTTAAATGGTAATATTTTCAGGCCACATCATTCCTCTCAGCTTTTGACGAACAAACACGCAGGGGTTCTAATTTGTAAATTATCTTTTACTTCGATATATAAATGCAATTTCATGTAGAATAACCCGGATATCGCCAGCCAACAGTGTCATAACTCGTTGATCCAACACGTAACGAAACAAGCCATTTATAACGTAGTTTTCAACCAAATGATGCAAGTAAAAATTTCGACAACGCATTGCATCAATGCCCTATGGCCCTTTGGATGGTAGACAACGGGGTCGTGACCTATTGACTCAACACGTTACGGAAGTTCGACTACGCGCTGAAATGGGTCAGTACGTTATTACTCTGTTGGCAGGCGACCATCAATGAGCCATAAGGCATTGATTCAATGCGTGGTTAAAATATTCAACTACTCTTTGCGTCGACACATTATGCATTTGATGGGTTGTCATAAACGCATGGCAGATCTTCATAATGCTACCTATCTAAATACTTTATAAAGGCTTATGATTTATGTTATATGATTATATATATATTGTAGGAATTCAAATACAAGTATATATTAACTGATATTACAGACGATAGATTATCAATATGAAAGAAACTCAAAATAACAGTTGAAAATATGCTTGTAGTGAGAATAAAGACAAAGGACAATTTTCTTCTTTTTTTCTGATTAGAATAATTTTCAAATTTGCAGCTAAGCCTCCTACAACATAATTTCATGTATTGGCCTACCAGTTAAGCCTCCTACAGCATAATTTCATGTATTGGCCCACCAGCTAAGCCTCCTACAGCATAATTTCATGTATTGGCCCACCAGCTAAGCCTCCTACAGCATAAGTTCATGTATTGGCCCACCAGCTAAGCATCCTACAGCATAATTTCAGTGCTATGTGTACGAAATTCAACGAACCCCAGATTTTAGCGTTGTAAGTCCGTAGACTTACCGCTGTTCCATTTGGGAACGTTGTACAATTTAAAAACATTTTTCATGCTACATAACACTATGTAAGCTGTAACAAAGGATTATCCTCACTGAACACAGCAGATAGCCCAATGTGGCTTTGTTCTCAAACATACAAAACTGTATAAGTATGTCTCGTTGAAAAGTTATAGTTGTTAACAAATGTTTATTATAGTACTAAAATGTATTAGTCAATTTATGTTTTTTAATAAAATTATTTTCTTCTCATATTTGTCAAGGTTTTTTTTTTTTAATTGATGAAAAACATTATTTAAAGAGTCATGGTTAAAACGGTCTCTTGAGATGAACGACTGATTTTTTTTTATAAACATTCATAAAATCGCTTAGTATTCAACAAATATCATGTTAAAAACGAATTCCTACATGATAAAATCATAAAATACATTTGAAAGATCTTTAAAAAGTCTAATATAATTGTCCACTCGTAAATAATTAAACGCAGTGACAAAATTAACTGAATGAGCATAGTACGAAAGGGCTTCCTTAAACGTATACGATATATAAACAGGAGCCAGCAGCAATGTTACATCTCATCTTTGTCATGAACTTTCTTAGCTCAACACTGTATTATATTTATTCATTTGTTGAGTTGTCAGTAAAACAAGGCACGCGAATTCAAATAGCGATGTTATAAAGGTAAAAAATAAAATAAGCGAATTTGACGTGGATTGATCTCAATCTTTTTATGCTAATCCATTTTCAGGATGAATCGCTAATATCTGAGTATTTATCATCCTAAATTTACACTATTATGTTTAAAACTAGCTTTGGAACTGTATATAAAGTGAACATGATTATGTTAAAAATAATTAGGGGAACCAAAGTTTATGAATTTTCTGAACGACACCCTTAGTGCAACTTACATAAAATAACACCTGAATTGTATCACTGTTAGAACAATAATAAGTTGGCTAAAATACAACTATTTTACACGTGGATTGATACGTCTTAGTTATTAAGATTTTACATTTTTCGGAAACAGCGTCTTGACAAAGGGCCCGGCATGGCCAGGTGGTTAAGGCACTCGACTCGCAATCTGAGGGTCGCGGGTTCGAATCTCTGTC